ATTTGCGAATCCTCTTCTAACCAGGGTAAATGCTGTCGCAGCCAGTGAATGGTGGACAGCCCCCGGTCAACTCCTTCGAGCTGTCCCTCCAAATTCGTTTAGACTCCCCAGTAGTAGGGGATCGCGCGAATGTGCCTCATATCTCCAGATGCTGACAGTCCCGAAAAATGAGGGGATATTACTCGGGTACGTCGAGCATCTCAGGGCCACCCCACGAGCATTGGGCAACTTGCCCAACTGTTGAGTTGATGCTGTCATGCTTACCTAAAGCATGACCCTTGCTCGGAGCCTTTGTGTGTATCGAATCTGGGAGGAAGCCAGCGGAGTCCACACCGTCTCTGGCTCAAGAAGAGGTTGTCGTCTGTGCTGTGCTGCTGAACATGCCATTCAGCCTACAGCTGTGCACCCGCACAGCTGTAGAGGCCACGCCCGAATCACCACTGTCTTGGCCAAATCAGGCTTTTTTCCGTAAAAGCCAGCAGGCATGTGGTGTGACAAGTAACTGATTTTCGCCTAGCTGCTTGCATGGCATACTTCAGGTGCTGCAGGTACTCTTGAACATTCCGGCTGAACACGAGCATCTCGTCCATGCGAATGACAATCTAGCAGTGATTGATTCCTCCCATGAACTCATGATTAAGATGTCAGCACAGTTAAGCAGGTGTTCCGCGAGCTCAAAGCGGAAACTGGCTTACCTTAGTTTATGAGTGCTGTTCTACGAAAATGCGCCAATGGAGTTAAATGAGAAATAGACGGCTGCATCTTGCAAACGGTCAAATGCTTAGTCGATCTGATGCATGTAAAATGCTTGCTTTACCACGACAATATCGAAGAACTGGAACACCACGCACATGCGCCACTTGAGCTCCCTTTTCTTCGAGCATTGTGATGTGACCGCACGCCCTGGTTGACGGTTGCGCTTGCGTCTTTTCAGCAACTCGCCATATTGCCGCTCTTTTTCATCTGTAAGGTTTGGGGGCGCTTGTACCGCGGAATGGTGCTTGGAACTGCTCTGCCGGAGAATTTTGTGAGGTGCAGCGGGTATCCATCGCGTGTCATTGGAGGCTTCTGGAAGTCTCTGGGTTTCCACCAAGCATTCCCAGCCCGATGGCCTTATTTCCTATCTTGAAGGGGCTTGATTTATTTCTAGTAAACCGGATCGACCTCTAGAGTTGCAAATAGAGTATCATTGTAGTGACTGCGCAATACAGTATGACTAGGACTATGCTTTGCTGTGTGGCCACGCGCTGTATGCGCAATATGCCAAAATTTTCAAATTCGCCCTCTTTTTACCCTCACAGTTCTCACAGATTATTGTACCCCGTCTTGAACATCGACGAAGCGTAGTCGTAGAGAGTGCTCCGGCGAATTTGCAAGTAAGTTGCATCTTCTCGTTTTAGCTTGAGATATCATATCCACCTCTCATCCTGTGTCAAGCAACACTAAGACATCCTGAACATTAATGGGAGCTTGGGTGAGAGCTGAGATTACTCGAGGCGAATCTGCAAGTGCGGCTGTCACCACTGGCGGCCCCATCACTGCTCCGCGCGTCGCCGGAGGGCCCAGGAATTTGTCTAATGGCTTTGCTAGCCTCTCTGGCGGCTCTTCTCAAAGAGTAGGTTCACTTGTTGCTTGGTTATCTAGCGCCCATGCAATCTCGAATTTTCTGGCCTTGTTGATTGCAAAGTAGCAGAAGTGTCACCAAGTACGTCCCCGCCGTTGTTTTAGTGCCCGGCTGCTGTCCGTTCTCGCATATCTTTTGCTGACTGGAGCTGCCAGTGGCAGCCTCAATTTCTACAATCACTACAGCTGGATCACATCCAACCACCGTTTCTCTTTTTCCACTGGGAGCGGTGGAAATGGTTTGTTTTGTTACTTTGGTGCGTAGGCACTCCCTTTTCTCGGGGAGTTCCACCCGTTTCACCCCTTAGTTGCAGTTCTCTCTTCACAGCCTAGCTGGTTACCTTCCCCAGCGGGCAAGTGCACAATGAACCATGGGTACCGTCCTTCTGTACTTGCATGCTTGCACTTGTGCCGTGATATTTGTCGGGTGTTGGCGTAGCGCTCAAATAATGCCTTCCTGTACTTCATTTTTCTGATTGTGCCATAGCCTTTTGCCCTTCCCGGCGCAGGGATACAACCAGATCGCGGCGCATATTGAAAAGCTTCTATAGTCGAGAAGGGATCTGAAAAAGTGGTGATTTTGTCTAGGTACAGCCACAATGGTATCCCCTAACCTTCTAATACGTAAGACGCTGGATAACAACTGTAACGCTCCCGGTACATTTCGAAGACAAGCACATCTCGAGAGATATATTCCCCTTTCATCGCATGGTGTCCGTCCCACTTCGGCGATGCATCCTTTACGTCTCCGCGGCAACAATATTTCAGTCTAGAGGGGATGCTGATTGTGTTACCCTTGTACGGTGATACTACTCCGATGAAGCGGCGCCCAGCGAGTGGTCGCCACATCCCAGTCGAAGGGCAGACTGGGATCCACTTCCTTTATTCGACGGGAGAAGAAGGCTGAATATTGGATAAAGCCACTAACGACTTAACAGGGCAATACAATGGGGGTGTGGTCGCTGGTCGCCTTTGTTCCTTCTAAGCAGTGGGCGCGACACAGTGTAGTTCCCTTGTGCGACGAGTTGCAGCAAGGTATGTTGCAGCCCATGCCGGGCCGCTTCCCCCTTGCGCCAGCCCTAGGTCACTCTCTGTGCAGACAGGAGGTGCAGTCAACTGCTTATAAATTCCTATCTTAGACTCCATTGTAGCCCGCGAAGACCCTCGGCTGAGACGGAGGAGAACCGCTGGAAGGCGGCAAATATCGGTTGCCTCTGCATTGCCCCTGCGCTGTTGGCTCAGGTTGACCTGACAATATCCTACGGGAACAGTGGGCCAGGCCGTCTTCACTTTCCTCCGTCTTCTATGGGCCGTCTGCTGCAAGCCGTGCAGTCTCCCGCTTGCAGCTAATTATTTATGCTCTGACGCGGATCTTACTTAAAACATATATTGACAAACCCTCATATAACTAACTGTGGTTCAGCGCTAGTCCCTGTTTCCAGTGCTTCCAGTAAAGGAGTCCTCGACTATAGCAGAGAAACGTCGTGAGCTGCAGTGTGGTCCCAAGATTTAAGGAACGAACTTTCCAAAAGATGCTGGCTTCCCCAGCCATACCCAGGCATCCTGAGCACAGCGGCCTAACGGCTGGTGGCTGGTGAGAGTGGGGGAACATGAAATGCGTAGCACCTTGCTACAACTAGTGGTACGAGGCGACCCTATGTGCGAGCACCACTTTTCTGCATGAAGTGGAATTGTTGACAACTTTTGAACAGTTACGTGGCCCTGGCTAGGCAGCCTGCACTCCACCAGAACTATATGTCCCAGTTTCGGCAGATCATGCTGCATCTGCTCCTCTTGCACACGCTTCCCCCCAAACAGGGGAGACGACCTCGTATGCCTAGTCGCGCAGCAAAGGATGGGCTAGCAGGCTGCACATCACCGCGTTTGTTTCCACTGGACGTTTGTGGGTCAACCCTACTGACAAAGCAGGCGCTTCGCGGAGGCCCCTGCGAACGCTCGCCTGGCGTGTCAGTGGCACTTTCACAAAAGAAACTCAACTAATATCATGTGCCTCACTGGGCTGCCTAGATGCACTGTTCTGTCCTAGCACAGAGACACCAGCTATTGAAGACTCAGACTGAGTCCATTCCCCGTCTCAGATGCATTGGCTGCGGCATGCGCTTACCGTGATTTGTTTACTATACAGTTGGGGCAACTTCAGAAGCTACGGGAAACTACTGTCCTAGCACAGAGACACCAGCTGTTGAAGACTCAAACTGAGTCTATTCCCCGTCTCAGATGCATTGGCTGCGGCATGCGCTTACCGTGATTTGTTTACTATACAGTTGGGGCAACTTCAGAAGCTACGGGACACCACCATACGAAGCCAAGGGAAACCAACATCAGAAGCCAGCAGCCCGACAATTCTTCGAGGAAATGCAGCATGCTCAGTAGGCGTTACAGAGGTTGCCCTGGCGAAAAGAAGGGTAGCGGCAACCTCCTTCACCAGCGTTGAGGTGAAATGACCCGGGCTCCTTCCCCAGGTGGCTTCCGCTGTATTCCCCGTGTAGTCTTGTCAGACACGTGTGTTTAGCGCCCCAAGACGCAGTCTCTCAGCACTCCAGACTAGTTGCTTCTGTTGTTTAATGATACCAAAGGTGTCTAATTCACTGAATGCCACTGTCTAGATGCTGCGTAGTGCTTGCAACAAAGGCAGAAATCCCGGCTTCAGTTGCTTTGCAACTATGCGCAAAGCATTGCTACTGACATGCTATGCATCCAGATCCATATTTACGGGTCTTTTCGTTGAACATAGGCGCTTGGGGTAGTGGAAGGATGACGCATGGAACGTCCAGAGGCTGCACCGGCGGCGTTGAGAATATTTACCCCCCGCCCTGCCTTTAAACGTGGAAGTATCTACAACGAAAAGCCAATGCAAACATTAACGCAGCTATGATGGATTGAGCAAGGGCGTCCGTAGTGAAGTCATTCGGTGTGTCGGGTACCCGCTGAGAGCGGGTTTGTCCACCAGTCAGGGTACCGTTGTGTAGTTGATCGATTGTTTTGGTGCTTCTTGAACTATGTGGCATTTGCACTTTTGCACGACCTTGCAAATTTAGATTTGAGA